GAATATTTTTATATTTATTCTATTTGGAATCTTTTTTCCCACCTTGGGTCTCAATTTCTCCATCTTTCTCTCTATATAAAACGTTTTCAAATAATATTTCATGAAAGAAGTATTCCATACCTTCAGTCATCTATTAACCTTCTGGGATAAACATTATATTGATATATGGATATTTCATGGTGTTTAAAATTTTCATGTGTGTCTGGGTGAACAATATTGCAAGCATACTCAAGCCAGAAATCTGAGTTATGTGAGACTTGGTGATGAGATGGGCAAGAAGGCATAAAGACAAAAAAAAATCCTTTTCAAAATAAGATCATCGGTCTCTGGACACCAAATATGAGTATAAAGACCTGGAAGGGAGTGGATCAACAGATGGCATAGCATTTATGTTGCTGGATTCCCTGATGACTGACAGCAGTGTGAGTCAAGACCAGTGACTTGAAATTCAGATGAGGTGTATGTGCGTGCATGCCCAATATCATAGGAGAAAAATGAAGGAGGGATTGTGGTGTGGACATTCCCCCTTAGACGTTATTTCTCACTTTGCCTATCACTGTAGGTGTCTTTCTCTCTCTTTCTGGCAAGCACAGGTTACTCTAAGCAAAACCCCCTTAAAAAAATAGATACACAAGATTCTGAAAATGATGCACATTCTTTAATAGTCATCTACACGGTAATTTTATTAACCATTCTCTATTAATACATCAAAATTCACTGATATAAACAATGACTTTTTATTAATTTTCTAAAGCTGCAGAACTAATTTTGTTTCTATTTTTAAGTTTGAAGCCTCTATTTTCTCAATGCAATATTTCTAAACAATGTAAATTGAAAAATCACATGATTTACTTCTTATAAATTAACATTTTAAATGTTAAACCAAGAAATGTAACTAAAGAGTAAAACATTCTCTGCATTGAGATCATGACCTCAAGTTCTCCCATTATTTTTTTCTCAAGAGTGTAAAATGGATTACATGTAGGAAAGCTAAAATATGTTAATGTTTTTACATTAAAAGTTTAATATTACCAGAACTCAATCCAAAGAGTAAATTAAGTTACTGGACTTGCATGTGTTTGACTGCAATTCAAGTCCTGAACGCAGTGACTTAAAACTCTCACCAGGTGCTTGTGCATGCATGCCCAAGATCCAGAGATGAAAATGAGAAAAAAATGAACGACGGCATGGTCATGACTCTGGGGGAGTAATTTGTCTCTGTTTCTCTGTCTCTCTGATGAGTGCACATGCCCTATAGCAAAATTTTTCTTTTTTTTTTGGTCTTTTTTTTTTGGAGAGATTTTCACTGTAGGGCGCGTGCGCTCGCCAGACAGACAGAGAGAGACATAGAGACAGAAAGCGAGAAATCACCCCCCACGGGGGATGGTCACGCCGCAATCCCTTCTCCTCCATTCTCCTCTCGGGATCTTGGGCACGCACGTACACGTGCCCGGCATGAGTTTTAAGCCATCGGGTCCGGGACACGAACCGCAGTCGACTACGTGGGAGTCCAGCGACATGGCCATTACGCTAACTGCTGGTTCCCTAGCAAAATTTTTAAATAGAGTAAATCAATTTACAATAATTACATTGTAATTAACCAAATATAAATTTACTAATAGATTGGAATTTATTAAATATATCATTTCCTCTTAAAATTGCTAAACACTTAATCAGCAGTGAATCATCTTGCAACTATACAACTCTTTTTTTTTTCCTAATATTTTTGAGATAGGTTGTGTGTACTTTTTAAAGCTGAAGAGAGAGAAAGTGAGAACCCCCCTCCCCCAGGGGATATGGCCAAGTCACAATCCCTTCTCCTTCATTCTGATCCTGGGATTTTAGACACACATGAAAATATACCTAGTATGATTTTCAAGGAGCTATATCAAGGATTTGAACTGTGGATAATCATGTAAAATCCAGTACTTTAACGACTTTTCCACCTGCTGGTCCTACTTTACAACATTTTTTTAGAGAGATCTTTGTTATGGATATGAGCACTCAACAGAGAGAAAGTGACAGAGACAGAATGTGAGAAATCACCCTCCACACAAGAAGAATTGTCTCACTACAATCCCTTCTCCTTCATTCTCAACTCAGGATTTTAGGTATGCATGTACATGTTTTGAGGGTGAGTTTCAAGGTGCCAGATCCATAACTCAGTGTGTGAGTCCAGTGCCTTAATCACTATGCCACCTACTGGACCCACAACTTTTTAAGAATGGAGGCAACCAATCTTAAGTGCTTCCAGCTAAAATAACTTTGTTTTAGTGGATATATTTTATTTGTTCTCTTCATATAATTATTGAATTCTGCTGAGCATTTCTAGGCAGTTTCTCAACATTTAGGTAAAATGTTAAACAAGGTTCTAACTTAACTTAAGAAAAAGGTAAAATAAAATTCTCTGGAATGGGAAAAAAAGATGAAATACATCAGATTAACTATATGACACATCAAGAAATTTCAAAAAGAAGAGCAAAGTAAACTAAATGCTAGTAGAAACAAAAATATTAAATTAGAATGGGTATAAATAAGAGACGTAGGAATCATGTAAAGAAACCATGTAACTACTAGCTAGTTGTTTTAACATCAAGAAACTGACTAGACTTTAGATAGACCTTCCTAGAAAAGAGAAAGAAGATACAATCAATAAACCAGATATGAAAATATAGACACTATTGCTAACTATACAAAAGTAAAAAGCTTTCTCTGAGAACAAAATAAATATTAAATAACTAATAAAATGTAGCTATTTAAGTCAGTCATTTTCAGTCACTTTATACTATGAGAAAATAAAAGTAGTACACTTTTGGCTTAAAACCCTAAAATTGTGATAGAGGCTTATGACATTGAATTTTAGATTTTATTTGAAACACCTTCTGTTTTTTAAAGCTTTCCAAGAGTTCTTATCAGGCCTTAACAGAATAATGTAGCACTTGCGGGCAAAGATGCAGCATAGGAGCCCAACACTGGAGGCCAAAATGGAAAAGATCTCCACAACCACCATGAATTTCCCCTTGGTGCTGTGATAGACAGGGACAAATGTAACCCAGACACTGCAGAACACCAGCATGCTGAATGTGAGGGACTTGGCTTCATTGAATGTGTCAGGCAGGTACCTGGCCTGGAAAGCCACTGTAAAGCTCCCCAGAGCCAAGAAACCCAGGTAGCCCAGGACACAGTAGAAGGCAATGACTGAGCCCTTGTTGCACACACTGATGAGGTTTTGGGACTCAGAATGTGAATCTATGTCAACAAAAGGGGGAGAAGTTCCCAACCAGATTCCACAGATAATTATTTGGATCAGGGAACAAATGGGAATGACAGAGTTGGAAGCCCCTGAGAGCAGCAAGCACCTAACTTTTCTCCCAGGTTTCATAGCCTTGAATGCCAGAATAACAGTAATTGTTTTGGCCCGAATGGTGGAAACAGCTACAGTGAACACAAGGCCAAATGTGACTTGTTGGAGAACAAAGGTGGTTGTGTTAGGATGGTCAATGAAGAGCAAGGAGCAGAGGAAGCATGGCAGGAGGGAGATGAGCAGAATAAAGCTGAGAGCCTGGTTGTTGGCCTTGACAATGGGTGTGTCTCGGTACTTGACAAAGACTCCCAAAACTACAGCAGTGAGGACAAAGAAGCACAAAACCATGCAGGTCATGGCTGTCCCCAAAGCATCTTCAAAAGCCAGGAAAGTCACACGCTTGGGGAGGCAGCGAGTTCGCTCACTGTTTGAGTATTCTTGAGCTGGGCACTGGATACACTGCTTTGCATCTGGTGGAAAATCAAAGATGCAGCAATTCAGTTTCACAAATTGATTGTCATGTTGAAGGAAATGGTCACTGTTATGTAATTATGTGCAGATAAAGCCCCTG